TATACTAGGCTACATGATCTGACAAACCCATATGAGAATAAAATCACACATTTTATTGTTTGACATTAGGCGCATAAGACAGATCTCTGTAGATCTTGAATCCACGAGAGGAAATAATACCAGGCCTGCTGTTATTAATATTCCTGTTGATGTTATTATTACCTTCATTATTATTATTATAATCCTAGCCCGTGGGTATTATTGCGACCTACGATCGAAGGTAGTTCTTTACGCATTGCATCCTAATAAGTTCCTACGCTTGTCTGCACGATCATTTTCATACACTTACATCTCGGTGATGTTTTCCATGTCATCTAACGTGAGGACAGGGAAATCCTCGATCCCTGCTACAGAATCAATACAATTAATCCTTGAGATGCTGCAAGTGCAGGATGCGGGGCAAGCATCGCTAAATCTCCACAGCCCCATCAAAACCAAAAACAATCCAAGACGAGCCATGCCATATTCCCCCGCGCTGGAGTCCATCGCAGGTCCAATGATATCCCACGAATCCCCCAAAACAGAATCTGGTCAAATTGAATTATTGTTAAGATTTCCTCCCTCGCCGCCTTTATCTGGCCAAGTTAATCTTTTCGACTCCGCAGAAAAAGAAAAAAAAAGAGAGACTACGCCGTCGGTGAGGAATGCGCAGAGCCCACGGTTTTAATATCAAGATGCCATGGACTGGCCTTCCCGTCTCCGCAGAGCTGGTATCACACTACTGCATATCGATGTCGTGAAGCAAGGTGTCAAGTGGTCCGTCCTGCTGCTGCTGCTGCTGCTGCTGTCTCACTCCTCTATCTCGGGCACAGACTGTTCGCCTCTGCCTTGTAAAACAAATATGAGGTGTTCCAGATGTTTAGAGATCAATAGGCATGGGGCCCCCACGAGCTATTTCTCATATGTGTGGTGATGGGGAGGAAAATAAGAGAGACTGCACAGTGGAGTAAGGATGCGTGGTGATGCTGCGCGTGTAGGGAGGAAGGCTACCTGCATGCGTCTATCGATTATCGCCGAGGACGAGCGCATCTCCCCCTCCAGCCATCACCGGGATTGGGTTTACAGGGGAGATGGTTGCGATGATATATCCCGGATATGTATTTTTCTGATAAGTTGTATTCATAGGAATTTTTGTTTGTTTTAATGTGACCATGCAACAACAACCACAAAAAACCTAAAAACACCCATCATGTTGCAGTCTCATTAGGCCAGCTGTGGGTCAAATGCCAGATGTTTGTGGTGGGCACAACAACAATATGGATGTAAACTCTTGTGTTTGTAGTTACTCTGAAGCCATGCATTGGATGAAAGCAGCGCAACC